TGGAGCTTTAGCAGAAGATGGGTTCATGGCAATGATAGAAAGTAGAGAGTAAGGCTTGGCTGCATACCACAGCCTCATAATGGAGAACAGTGAGTGGAGCTGTGGTCATAAATCAGTGAAAGGCTTCTTGTTTTGCAGAAGTCAAAGAAGAAAAACTGTGTCAAGATGAGCTTAATTACAGTCATAAAGCTTTGACAGAGAAGTTGTTTAAAAACATACTTCAACTTCAGATAATACCACTCCCTTATTCTGAAATTCTTGTGGTACATGAATATGTTCTTTGTTATGCAAGTTTCTAACCCCCCAAGATACGACTTACAATGTCTCCAAGAGTCTGATTTATATTTTAGGTTACATTGTGCTCTAGGTTCTTGATAAGAGTTGAATACTTTATCATTAACCTACGGTGGCCCTGAGAGATCAAAACACTGCAACTTGAAAAAACACATGGAAATAGACAAAACCCAAACAACTTCAGAAAATCTTCATCTACTCGACAACACGTGCTGCAAGTACGCAACACAACAGAAGTGTTTCCATGGGACACAAAAAACTGATGAACCCAGCTGTGTTATAATACATCCATGCAAGTGCAGAAACACTCCCATTGTGTTGTGAGTGTTTGCAGCACATGAGTTGTCAAATTGAGAAGATGTTTTCTGAAGTTGTTTGTGTGTTTTCTGAAGTTGCGGTGAGTTGAGCTCTCAGGGCCACCGTAGTTATCAAATAGTATTCAGAAACATACATAACGGGACAGGTGATGCCTGTCAGATCTAGTTTGTGTGACATTTTTCTGAACTGTCAGTTCTGTCAGAGAGAGAGAGGAGACACAGTATTGTTTGACTATGCGGTTAATGGTGCACAGCCTCTCCTCAAGGCATTCATCGTGTTGCACTTTGCTGTTCATGTGAAAACTGATATAAACTTGAGAAAGAGAGAGAGAAGATAGAGAAGTTCAGACCCTGACTCTTCACTCACCTCCACACAAAAATGATTAACGGTTAAAAATTGGCTCAGTTCTACAAAATGTAATGTAATCTCTAACTTCTCCCCTCCACTGCAGATGAATCAATATTTTATACTTAGTCATGGATATTTCTTACCTCTCTTTTACAGCTGTTACTGACTTTTTACCAAAGAACCATGTTTTTTTTTTAGCAGATTTCTTTTTTTAAACTGATTATTCAGCAAGAAAACCTTCACCCCTTCCAGACCTTAGAAGTGCTCTAACATCTCTGTCATCTAACAGAGCACAAATGATTAGACTTTTACTTACAAACACAAGGTGCCTTAAAAGATTTGCAGCATAATCCATGAGTCTTAAAATGGTTGTTAAATACAATCAGAACAATCATTTCCCCCAATTTTTCTGTCGGGTTCAGAAGTAGATACCCATTTATTTTATAAATAGATGGACAGTAAATCCTGGTGTCTACCCCCAAATGTCTGCACGCGTGAAAACCACGTAGAACACCTGGAGTTGATGCTTTGAATTGTTGTTCTGAGTTTTTCATACTGGGTTACAAGAAATGCTACATATACAGCCTTTGTCCAAAATGACTACATGGCCCACAGCCGTTCCTGACTTGACTTGAGTGGGAGGTTAGATAAGCAGCTTTGGATCCTTGTACCTGTCCTGGGTTTGTCCATCATCTCAAGTGGCAGTGGAGACAGCTGTTGCACTTTTACAATGTTGACCATGCGGACAAATGTAGGTGTTCTTCATTTTTTCCTTCACCAACAGTGACAGTGTGGACAGACTTCAAACCAACTCCCACTATTGAATGAGATATAAATAAGATTTATATTATATTTCTTTAAATATTAAAGCAAAACATCTGATAAAGTGGCAAACCTTGTGTGAAAACATCTGGATTATTACAGCTGATTAGAGATGTAATGGTTTCTGTGTGGTTCTGTTGTTGTGTGAAGAGAGATCACTGTTACATTTGACATATTGTTGGTTATATACTGTGTGTGTTCTCCTGATTGTGGTGGTCATGTATGAGCATACCTCCCTTGACCTCTGACCTGGTGATTCTTATGTTCAGGCATGCAGCCCCTCCCAGTGCAATATCCTCCCCCCTTCCTTCTGTGCTGCTGGACTGGATGCCCCCCCCCCCCTGTTCAATTCACAGCAGCTCACTGTTTTGAGGTTTTACAGTGTAACATGCTCTTCAGTCTGAGTGGTCATACGTGTGGTTACAGTGTGTAATCTATATGAGGTTTTTTCAGCCACAGTTCTTAATGTCTGTGTACATCATTTCCATCTGTGCAGTGACTGAGTCCATCTGTACCACAGTGCTTCTGCCCTCTGACTCTTTACATGATGTTACTCAGCCCCAGCCGACTCTGAATATCTGCCCCCTGCTGAAGCCCAGTGGCCTGACAAGGCGTGTTCAGATTCCACAGTGGACACACCCATTCAAGTGCCTTTCATTCAACTGCAGGGTGTCACCAATAGATGCTGCTTTGTTCCCAAAGCCACAGTCGCACACTGCAGAGTCAGGTTTCTTTGTGTAGGCCAGGGTTTGCCAGACTTACAGTAGTAAGTTTAGTTTTTATTCATGTGAAGTTCAAGCAGGAAGACAACTGTGAGCGAGCCTTATCTCATCATCACACTGACGCTCCACCTCTCCATTATTATCCACTGATTCCAGTGGGTTCTGTCCTATCCAATGATCATCTTAGCTGAAGGATATTTAAACCACCTCGCCATGTTCACTCTCTCTGCTGTCACTGCAGTCTATACTGCTTGCAACTTTGCCGCTCCACCACCCTGCCTCCACCAGTATTAAGGCCTCATCTGAAGCTCCCTCGGGGATCTCAGATTAATTTCTACATAGGTCTCTATCCTTATACGTCTCTTTAGTTGATGGGGTCAATGTCAAAGCCTTTTTAAAAAAAGGTTTGCAACACTAAACAGTGGAAAACTCAAAATACTTGAGACATTTAAAAGTCTGCATAGAGCCCATACCACTTAGTATATGGGTTTGAATCCAGCCCGGGCCCTTTGCTGCATGTCATCCCCTCTCTCTCCCCCAACTTTCCTGTCTCTCTTTCACTGCAACTGTCAGATTAAAGGCTTCTTAAAACTGCCCCAAAATACTTTTGCACCTACTGCACCCAGTATATATCAAAGTTAAAAGACACTCAAACATCTTTCTGTCCATATGTGAAGACAACCTTCTCTCATCTTTAACTTTCTCTGCAACACATTTTAAATGTCTACGTAGCGGATGATACGGTACAGCTGTCGACCTATTGGTTATCTGTTCATTTTGACAGACGATGTTTGATCGTGATTATACAGCCTCATGATTTGATTACTGTCACGGCAGCAGCTTGGATGTGACTTTAACCACTGGGTTATTTCCATGTCCTGTTGTCTGAAAACAAAAACACAAATATGTGTCAAATAGAAAAACCATACTGTGAATTCAGCTGCATTAAAACTCAGTGGAGGTATAATCATGGAGGAGGGAACAGAGGTTTGGGCAGACGCTCATTATCTGTCAGAGGGTCTTTTTATTTTCTTGTGAGATTTAGTGTAAAAAGACGGAATTGAAAAGAGCTGACTTATGAAGGTGTCCGTTTTTAGAACCAGTCTATAGTCTTTAGTTCTTTATGTTTGAACCACAGAGACGTCGTTTTTCATTCATCTGTAGCAGGTGAGCTTGAAGTGTCGTGCTTCACTCATACGTCAGTGCATCTTGGGAGGACACATCACTTGTAAACAGCTGTAGCAGCTCATGCTAAAGACCTCAGGGAGCTCTGGTTGTGATCGGTAGTCAGAGGTCAGAACATTCAGAGTATCTCCTGACACTGAAATGACAGACAGCAGCAAATCTGTGTGTTTACTCTGGAGCTGCCCTTTGGTCCGCTGAGACAAAAAAACAACCATGTGTAAATCTGAACTCTTGGTTTACTAGTCCGTGCACACAGATTAGTAAAGAGCACAATAAATGCAATGTTACACATTGAAGGCTGTGAAACGTCCAATGCCAAACAAAATATAACATCAAATCTACCTTTAAATCTAGATAAACTGGGTGTTGAAATGCTCCCTTCCTTGTTCTCTGAGCCTTGTGGGCCTCCATAGTTTACACTGTGTTTATGGCCAAATGTTAACAAAATATGCAGTATATAAAGTTTAAAATTATATATAGAGTAGTGCATCATCATCATCATCTTAAGCTACTCTGGGTTTCTTTCATGATTTAACTATTGGTGAGTCTCTCTGTATTCAGTACCTTAATTAATTATCTTGTAGAAGCCCATTTTACAGCAATTACAGCTTTGGGTCTTCTTGGTTAAGTCTCTACACAGCTGGATTGGGGCAGTCGTTAGCCTCAACCAAAAGAGGAGAAATGCAAATACTGGCTTAGTAACATTAGCCATGGGTACATTTAGATTTAACAGTTGAAGGAAGTATAACCACGTTTCTGAGGTCGGGACTTCTGGAGAGCTTTGTGCACTCACCAAAGCTAAGCAAGCTGCTGCTGGATGATCAGTCAACCAATCCAAATTGTAGACTGCCTGTTTGCTTAAAGTCAGATTCCTGTTTTCTAATTTTCCTCATGTTAAATACAAATGATGTGTTGTGTGTGTGTGTGTGTGTGTGTGTGTGTGAAGGATTTGAAGAGGTTTAAAGGCACCCTTCACAGAGCCAAGCTGTGTAATGTAAAAAAAAAAACAAGTAATGCAATGCATTTTTACAAGTTTTATAACGATAATATTTATAATGATAATAATAAGTAGACTCACGGGGAAGTATAATGGAGTCCAAACACACAATTTGGACCTGGAGACTCACTGACCCTGAATTATTTTTCCTCTCATGAGTGATAAAGTTCGACAGTTTATGTAACGTCTCTTTTCTATCAGTGCAGCTCAGGATAAGATGATGTGACGTTCTGAGCACGAATATTAGATCTTTTTTGACAATCTGGCACAATGATCAAAAACACTAATATTTCATCTTTCTACTTTTTGTCCAGATTACAGCCTTCCTGCAGGAAAGACCTTCAGCCATGGTTTCAGTTCCAGATCCATGATACACACACCCAGCCGCGTCATGGCTGTGAGTACCACCTGCCAGTACTGCATTACACCACGATACATACCCATCCAGCACAGATCAGTGCAAAATACATATAAAGGTTTGGGACAAGTTTATCGTAGCTCAGGACAAAGACAGGAAGCAGGGGAAACCCAGCAACTCAAAGATTGCCCATGAACAGTCTTTGTCTTGGTATTTTATACTGTGTGTACTGAGTTTCACTACACGGCTCTGTGAGGACTCACTGTAGTCTCCCAGCCAGAAAACTCTAAGCTTGATGGATGGTGTTCTTTGTGGAATTTAATCTTGCAGTCCAAACAGAAGCAAGAATCAGGTTTTGAGGTGATAACCAACTAAACAGTAGGAGTTTGGCTGTGATGGACTAAAGTAATGATCAGTGATTATTCAACAATTACTCCAGTTTATTACATTTTCTGACTTATTTTTGTGATTTTTTTAAAGTATATTTTTTGGGCTTTTTATGCCTTTATTGATAGCAGAGTAGAGAGAGACAGGAAATGGGGAGGCAGAGAGAGGGGGGAACAACATGCAGTAAAGGGCCGTCCGATGCGGGATTTGAACCGGGGCCGACTGTAGCGAGGACTGTAGCCTCTACATATGGGGCGTGTGCTCAACCTACCGCGCCACTCGACGCCCCTTATTTTTGTGATTTTGACCAGCATTTTTATCATTGATAATTTCATTGTACACTACTGAGATCTGGTCCGTAGCCAGGATTTTAGAAATGCTGGGGTCATGTGTTGAAGTCCCTCCAATGTCTCCTGCTTAATTATTTGGATTATTCAAATTCTATTTAGTTAGTAAACTGTTTGTGTAAATTCATTCCCAATTATGAAGACTAAAGACAGTTTTAGACTGTTTTTTCAACAAGACCTTGCTGCCAGGAAAACTTGAGCTGTGGTATTTCCAGTTTGGCATGCTGCCAACAGAAATCCCCATCGGCGAAGTGGAAAAGCCAAAAGGAAGGATCAGCAGGAGTGAAACAGTGGCTTGGACTTGATGATGCTGAAGTCCTGTCAGACTGTACGGAAACAGCAAATTGGAATTACCAATTGCAATTGTTGTGGAAGAATTCAATTGCCCTCTTCCCTTCACTTCATGGATGTGGTCGGTCAAGTCCAACAGGGGAGAGCCGGTCTCAGTCTCATCTCAAAAGGGCTGCATGATATGCAAAAAAAAAAAAAATCACATTGCGATTATTTTGGCAGATATTGCGATTGCGATATGTGATTGCGATTTCAGCTGGAATGGTTGTTTTAGCGTTTCATTTTCACTGAAAACAAAACATGTTGATGTGATTCTTATTGACTTCTTTACCAAACAATCATGTTCCTTTACGTCTGGAGAATAGGATTTGTAGGCCAGGGCATCTCTGTAGCACCACCAACACTTATGGTGCTAACAGTACACAGCAATATTGTGAAACATTTTACCAAAATAAAAGAGGAAAAGAGGAAACTCAGCTGGCATGACATCTGGGCCGTGGTTAAGTTTTGTCATCAGAGCCACTTATGACCTCCTACTCAAACCCCAGAACCTGAAGCAGTGTTGAGGAGAAGACCCTGCTTGCTCCCTTTGTCAAGCACCTGCATCACTAAGGCACATTTTCAGAGGATGAGCCTGACACAAAGGCGTTACAGTTGGCAGCATTATAAAGTTTTCAGACAGCTGGTTTCCTGGCATAGACGTGAACCACTTCAAACACAGACATCAGCAGGAAATGCCCATAACACTATTTGTATGAGCAGAGCAACCTCCAAAGAACCATATAACATCAAAGGATACAGGCGCTCTGCAGGTTGCTCAGGATTGAAAAGTGGACATGGACTTGGAAAAACAGCTTGTGTTTCCCCCAGACATTGTGACTAGTACACTGACCAGACATGGTCCTGTGGTCCACAACAGCCAAGCTGGCATACATTGTGGAACAGACAGTACCATGGGAAGATGGTGTTGAAGAAACTTATGAGAGTACAAAGACTGAATAGTCTGAACTGGCAACTGAAGGTGCCTAGATGGAACTGGAAGACCAAGATTGTCCCTGTAGAACCAGGATGAAGGAGATTCGTTGCTACATCTACGAACAGTCTGTTGGAGAAGATGGAGGTGAGGGGGGCGCTCCATCCAACAAGCAATCAAGTCTTTACCAAAAACTACAAAGAAAAGCAGCGATTGGCTTTGGATGAAAAGGAAAGACAACAGCTGGGCTGCGAGATGAAGACAGTAGGGTACAGAACTGAGGGGCTGTACCTGGGACGTCCGATATCACTGTTGAGCCATTTGGAGATGTCGCAGCCTTATCAATGAAACGTCAAATGCTGATTCACCACAGGGATAAATAAATCAAGTTCTATTAGCTCTACTACTGCAGTTCCATATAATTTGTTAAATGAAAGAACGGGGCCAAAGATTTCTATATTACCCAGAATTATGTATCATATAGTCTAGACACCAATATTGATGGCCAGCCCAAGTCCATTACATAAGCCAGTGAAATACCCACCATGTTCACGTTTGACATTTGTTAAATGTTTAATCTAAACTCCCTCCGGGTTGCTAAAACACCCAAAGAAAAAAGTACAGAGGCCGTGCCCTCGAGTGTTCAGCTCTGGCAGAAATATGGAAGTGCAGCTTTATCACAAACTAGAAGTCTGACTAGCTATCAGACAAACACACAGGAGAGCAAATATTAGTAGGAAGGGAAAAGAAAAACAAATCTGGCTTTTGTAAATACCATCCAACAGTTTAAAGACTCACTTCCTCATTTAAATTTTGAGTTACATTGCACTGAATTGTTTGTGCAGAGGTTTCCTTATTAGCAACATGTTGGGTGTAGTCACTTTCAGTTTCGCCTCAAAATGAAGTGGTTTAGATCAGCTGGATGGACTGTTGGCTTGTTTACAATATGTCACACTCTTTATGTTTCTTGTCCAATTGCTGGACAGATTTATGTGTGTTACAAGATCTCAAAACTCAAAGTATGTAAATAAGACCAACGTTGTAATGAATATGAATTATATTTAAACTATAGTTAAAGTACAGTTTAACAATGGTTAAATTAGTGATCTAAAACATTATTTCTTCTCTAAAAGACTAGGGCAGTGGTTTATTCCTTGACTGGAGATCTGCGTGCCAAGTGTGCACACCACACACACATACACACACACACACAGCGCCGAGCCAGTGTTGTGTATGAATAATGTTTCCTCTCTGGTCTAATTGTATCTGAGTCAGCGAGAGGAAAAATGGAAGCCTCACGCTGCCGACCAAATTCAGAACAATGTAAAGACTGAAGAAAAATATAAACAGGACATTTGCCTGTTGCTCTTAACTGGCCAGTCTAACAATGCAAAGGCTGCAGTGTGCTTCCTGCAGGTTACAGTGAGCAGGCTTTAATAAATGAGAGAAGGAAGAGCTGCTGATGTGGGAACTCTTACACTGTCTTTTACTGTACAGGACAGTTTCACTTAAACACTGTTTCTTCTAAAGACACCAGTGATCTTTCTCTCTGTAGTGTAAGAGCTTCTGTATAACAACTTTTAGCTATGAGGAAGTTGACTTTTTGTCTTTTCATATTATAAATCAGAAAACATTGTATTTATCTTTGCAGTGTGTCTGCTAACCTCTGACATCTCCCCACCCTGCAGGTTCCCACAGTGCCCCTCCACTCCTCTGGTTTCTCCTCTCGCTCTGCTGCGGAAACAAGTTCAAAGGTGAACCACAAAGGAACCAGCATGGTACAGAGCAACTTCCAGACCTACCAGTCACAGAGCAGAAGCAGGCGCTCTAAGTCACTGTGCCAGGGTGACCAGGAGGGGTTTCCACTCACTGTGTTGGATGCTCCAGAGAATACCTCCTACCAAATCAATGTGCCTCCCCCAGGCACCCTTAGGCGCAGCCTTAGCGGGATACTGGCCCAGGAAAGAGGCCACTGGCAGGAAGAGCTGCCGTGTCAGTACACATACAAAGGCCCGTCCCACCGCACCATTAGCCGCATCACCAACAGGCAGCAGCACTACCAGCAGCAGGGCTCTGCCTTTGAGAGGGAGGGCTGGCAGGGGACGGGCAGGAGCGTCCCCATGGCAGGGGACGGCTGGGGGACACAGTGGCAGCAGCATGTGTCCAGGGCCAACCATGCAATGGGGGCGGGGCAGTACCAAGCCTCCCTCCACCGGGCTGCCTCACTCCGCAGTGTGAGGAGTGTTGGGAAAGGGGTGGACGTCTTGGATGGAGCATCGATACACAGCAATGACCCACTGGGAGAGTAAGACATGTTATTTTTTTAATTTACCTTGAAACATCTGTTTACCTTAAGATTTAGCTAAAACATCTGGGCCACCAGGGGCTTGGATCAGATTTATCTTTATATTGAACTATTTCTTGTTCACTTTTTCTGATTTCGTGGACAAAATAACTAATTAATGACTGGAAAGAATAATCAACAGATTACTGTAATACACCTCTTTGCGTTTGTGTTTGTGTGTGTGTGTGTGTGTGTGTGTGTGTGTAGGATGCACGGTCTGGACATGGCTACAGCTGTCAGATATCTGTCTGAATCAGACACTGCCTTGCAAGTTCTGGGGGCTGCATACATACAACACCAATGTTACCATAGCAACGATGCCAAAAACCAGGTAACATGTTTGGTTATATGCCTGATATTTGGTGTATTATATATATATATATATATACTATATGTATCAGTGGCGGCTGCTGGTCTTATAAGGAGGGGAAGCTCATTTTCGGCCTACATCATAAAATGTGTCCGTTTATTTATATGTAAATTCGCAGAGTGACAGAAGAGAGTCGCCAAACACAACGCTAGTCGTTTTTAACAAAGACAAAGTCGCTGAGGATCAGTAACGTCTCCAGATCAACTCCAAACAACAGAATGAAAAACTTGAAAAATGCTCTGGTGGATGCTTATACTTCAAGATCGCTGATTTGCTCATTTCGCTGTCAATCAAAAAGGGACTCGGCCTCAGACAGATCATCCAATCATCATGCAGAAGCCGAGCGCCCTGGCCAGCCCACTGCCCCATACACCCCCAGAGACGCTGAGCGTCCGATGGGCGGGACAAAGCCCAGCATTTATCCAATGACCGTCTAGTTTCGCTGCAGTGGAACAACCCACTCTGTGCTTCCCCATTGAAGTCAGTAGACGCTCGGCGTCTACACTGTGTAAAGCACTGTGGCGCTGTGGGGATGAATAACAAGGAAGTCATGTCGGTTACCTGTGATAAGTAGCTGATTCTGAACAAAAGATGAATGTGTTCTAGCACATATTTAGTCAATGAAATGTACACACAACAGTAGATATTTGATCACTTATTTTGTTGATATTTTAGGGGAAGCTGAGCTTCCCTTGCAGTCTTAGAGCAATCGCCACTGATATGTATGTATGTATTTGATTGTCCATTTATGTGTCCATATGTGTGTTGTCACAAGCATTGGTAAGCTGGGTCCAAGCACATTGTTTTGACCTATATGGATTAAACAACAACTAAGTACAAGAGTCACGATGTGTGTGAACAGAGTCAGGGAGAGAGAGAGGAAGAGCGACTATCAGTTCAGGTTAGGACATGTTGTTTATAAAGATTTGTACAAATACTTTCAGAGTTTTGAAAGTTACTTGATTGTACACATTCTGAATAAAGTAGAGTGACTTTTGAACATTGGTTCAGTGAAACAAAGTTTTGTTACGAGTTGAGGTCAAATTGACACACAGTATCAAGATAAAAATTCATTTCTTCTGTGTGACATAATTCAGAATGGCGGAAATGATGCAAAATTATCCACAGAATCCAGGGAAGAAATAATTTTCTTTCTAGCGTGTGTAGTTTGAACGCTATCTGCAAAAATGTAGAAATGGTTATTGTGGCACCGCCATGAGGTCAGTCAGTTGTGGGTAACTTCTTGAACGTCTTGCCAAGTTTGGTGTCGATAAATGTTTCACAGTTACAGACACTTTCAGTGGAGAATAATAACATCGAGAGAAAGTAGTTCCTGAATAAACTGTGAGTGAGCTGCTAAGTGCTCCCTGGCGTCTTTCTGATTAGGAGACTGCAGTCTTAACCACAGAGGCAACTCAGCCCACAGAAAGAAACATATCAAGATCACATTTTCATGAGGAGATGTGTAATTAGCCATAAAATAAAGCTTTAGCTCTGTCAACAGTTAAGAATGATGATGTACTGTTTGCTCACACCACGGTAAAATTAAAGGGGAATCTGCAAGTTGAAGAAAGCAAATTAAAGTCAGGTGAAAGCAGTGTACAGTCTTGTGAACATTTTAAAGTTTGAGTGGAGTCTGTAGCCTGATGTACGTCTTTCAGGTCCGTGCGCTGCACGGTGTTCCAGCTCTGGTTCAGCTCTTCACCAGTGAGAACCGAGAGGTGCAGCGTTATGCCACCGGCGCCACGCGGAACCTCATCTACGAGAACAGTGACAACAAGGTGGCGCTCATCAATGCCGGTGGAGTGACGCGTCTCGTCAGCATCCTGAGCGAACCAGACGAGGAGCTTCGAAAGACCATCACAGGTAGTAATGGTCTTCTGGTTTCACACTGAATTGAACCATGGTTATGAGTTTGTATCCATGGACTGATGATTCAGTGATTTATCTTTATCTACAGTTTGTATTACCATCTTAAATTCGTTATTCAGACAATGAATCAAAACCTTTTGTGGCTGCAGGTGTCCTGTGGAATCTGTCCTCCAGAGACAACCTGAAGGAGAAGTTGTCCAAAGAAGCTTTACCAGAGCTGACAGAAAAAGTACTGATTCCTCTGTGCAACAGCATCCCACTGAACCCATCTGAGAGGGAGATCTTCTACAACACCACCGGCTGCCTCAGGTGACTCCAGAGAAGACGCTGCTCAGTCTGTTACCTGTGCCTCACACTGGTTTGAATGTTGCACGAGTTAATCTGTGGATATCGTGGTAAAACATTCAGACGTTGTTGTTTGCTAATGAGCATGACACACACAAAGTACAGATGAGGCTACTGGAAGTGATTCATTCTACAGCAGAGTGATGAAAAGTCAGAGAGTCACATGTTCGTTAAACCAGAGACAGTTGAGAAAGGAGACGGTTGACTTTCAGTTATTTCCCATAACTGTGTCACATGGGTTTCTCCACCTCCCCGCCCCTTTAGGGCTTCAGCAGCAGGTGGGAGTCTATTCATTCCAACGGGAGAAGTGAACATGTTCACAGATTATGACAGATTCTTTAGCCTTCTTTAGCATTCTTTTATTTCTTTGCTTAATAATATTATTGCTATTATCATTTAACTGTTTTTGGAGGGAAAACAGAGTATTATTAGACTGATATGATCTGCTACTGGATTGATCAGATATTAAGATAGCAGATAAAAACGAGCGGTAAAATCAGGTGCATGTTCATATTGTATCTGGTGTTGTTATGTTTTGACATGAAGAAGCAATCACGACCACTTAGGTGACAGGAAGTGTATCCCATTTTATACCATTGGCGCTGCCTGTAATGCGTATCTTCTGTATAGAGTATCTTTGTTTAAAATAGCTGTGAAGTCTGACATCTACTAGTAAATGCAGGGTGATGTGTTCAGGAAAGAGGTACAGGTGCTGGGCCAATTAACCTTTCAAGATAACCAGCTGAAAGTGAATGGATGGATAAAATTAACCTCACACTGGGTATTTTTTGATAAATATAGTACAGTTGCCATGAGCTTGTTTCTGTTATTATAGAGATGTGAGGAATACAAATACAGACTGATGGGAACACAAAAGCGCAACAATGAGGCAGCAGAGTCTCAAAGAAAGCTCAGTTTACTGAAGTCACAAAGCAGGTAATCAGGCAAACAAATCCAGTGGCGAGCAGGCAGGAGATCAAAGGTCCAAAAACAGACAGGCTAGGTCAGAAACAGGCAGATTAGGCAGCACAGGGCCAGTAATGCTGGACCACTTGGCAGTAAGACAAAAGTCAATCTGGCAGAGGGCAAGGGAAAACGGACTGGTATATATATTGAGGGACTGATGAGAGAAGGAGCCACAGGTTTGGAGATGGGCAGGGAAAACCAGGTCAAGGTGATGAGCAGAGTGCATGGTCTAATTGGGAGGCAGGATCTGAAATGACAGGAATGTTAGTGATGAGACAACACAACTAGGTGAAAACAAACTAAGATTTGGAGGGATTCATGTCAAGAGATGCCACTACCAGAGGACCGAGCCAGAGTTAAGAACAGAGCTGTTTCTTTTGAAAACAAAACCATTTATTGAACCAGCTCTTTATTCATTGAATCACTCTAAAGTATTTAAATCTTTTTACAATCTCTTTACACTGACATTACATATTGCAGCTTTCATGCTCTGTAGCAGAATTTTAGATGTCTTATCTCAACGTACAATTCGGTATATATGATAAATGCTACATATGAACCTGATTCTTCATTTTTATCATATGCAACTGAAACTACATTCAGGTTACGCCTTATAAAGCATGATTGAGTCCCTGAGGATAAAACCTTAACAAATAAAACCTGTGTGTGTGTGTGTGTGTGTGTGTGTGTGTGTGTGTGTGTGTGTGTGTGTGTGTGTGTGTGTGTGTGTGTGTGTGTGTGTGTGTGGACAGGAACTTGAGCTCAGTGAATGAGAGGACGAGACAGAAGATGAGAGACATGCGAGGCCTGGTGGACTCTCTGGTGTCCTACATTGAACAAGAGGAGAAGGGTGATGACAAGGTAAAAGGATAAAAAAACTCCTGCACTCAGTACTTTTTGACTTTGCTACACCGTACATAGTAATCATCTGAATCAAGCGTCTGACCTGCTGCCAGCAACCTTTGTGAAACTGAAAGTGATGCTCAGTGACGCCTAAAAGAAGAAGTTGGGATCAGAATTTGATCAGATTTATTTTTAGCTGACCTATAATTAGGGTCAGGATCAGCTCAGCTCTTGTTCCTATTGAACACGTCAATCTATAATAATTAGTGCGAAATTGAGGACATAGTTGAAAGCTGTTGTGAAACTGCTGCTATCAACTACTTTCAATGGAAAGTAGCTAAAGACCAGTCGAAAGGTCGCTAAATGTCACTTTGATGACATTATACACCAGTTTACATATTTGTGACATCATTGTGTCCTGTTTTCATTCAGCCTAGTGTTAGCCAGTTTCAGCCCTTTCTCTGTTTGCCTTTCTCCTTCTCTCTGTGCCTCCACTCTCTCTCTGTCTCTCTTGATGTTCAGGGTTTGGAGAATTCTTTGTGTGTGATGAGGAATCTGTCCTACCAGCTCTACACAGAGCTTCCTCCCTCAGTCCGACTCCGTCTGGAGGGACAAACGAGAGCTTCCGCCTCCAGGGAGAACACGAGCATCGACTGCTTTACTCTTTACAGCAAAAAAAACACTGAGGTAAAATTCATCATACTGTCACCAATTATTAAATCAGCTGAAATCCTAAATAATGAATTCCAGGATATTCAAACATCCTTAAAAGGTACAATGATCAATATTTTTATATTAAGAGGGGGTGAAATGATTATGTGTGTGTGAGGGGGGTCTTCAAGTGACAAACCCACAGAGAACTTCCTAACTCTCAGTTTTTTTATCAGTTTATTTTGGAATTATATTCAACACTAATTCTCATGTTGCTCTGTGTCTGGTAGATGTGTTAATAGACAACTGTGTTCTGTGACTTTAAAAGGTGATAATATGTTAATGTTGATTTTAGACCTTCTTCCCTTTCTTCTTGTCTTAAAATACAAGGTATAGAGTTAATGGCCAGTTCCTGTAACTAGAAAATCAGACACAAATCAGACATTTTTCTTTACGTTTATATATTAGCAGTATACTGAGAAGACTCCAGTGCAATATCACTACATGTTAAATGATTCAAAATTGTACGATCTTACAATAATTGTATTATGATAATGGTATGTTTTTAATGTTTATTTGAAATGTAGAGGATTTCAGGAGAGAGCGAACGTGTAAGATAATTGAAATTAAGGGCTTTAAAGTGCAACCTCACTGCAACAAATGTAATTACATCTGTGATTTCCAGTTAAGGTTAATTTAATGAACAATGTTATAAAATAACCTGTGAACACCACATTCCTCACTTTAAATCTTGCGTTGTGTCCATATAAGGAACTGCCTGAACAAGTAAGAAACCAGACTGTTAGACTTCAGAAAGATGGAGGGATACAAGAGCATCAGTAGATGACTGAACAGAAGCTGAAACACAGGTGCAGCAGGTTAGCAGGTATAGGAAGAGCTGCACTACCAATAACAGAAGGCACAGTGACTGTTCTCCAAAAATGATGCCACACACAATTTGCAATGCTAACACAAAGGCCAGTGCCTCTGACTTGGTGCGAGGATTATCTGTGGAAATTGGTGTCTCAGTGACTGCGTCCAAAAAGAAAATCAGAAATTACAAAACAGCAAAAAACTGCAAGAGTAGACTTGATGAAAAGAGGTCTGATGAATATCAGCCTGTTGGACAGATTTGACTTTGGAATTTATGGCCTCCAGTTTCCCACCGGAAACTGGCTTTAATAGCTGATAACACCATGGTGGTGTGTGTTTCCTTGTTGTTTGTCCACACCTTCAGACTGGGTGTGTCCATCCTGGTGTGTGTGTGTGTGTGTGTGTGTGTGTGTGTGTGTGTGTGTGTGTGTGTGTGTGTGTGTGTGTGTGTGTGTGTGTGATAAATATTCTGCCTCTTCTCCACATCATCTAGCAGAGCACACAGATGCACAGTCCCTATAACACTATAATAAAACAAGAGAAAAACTTGAATCAGAAAACTGATATGAGAAAACCGAATGTACTGTATGTTATTATACAATAAATCATTTTTTTCTCTGTCTCCTTCTCCATGGCAGCGTAACCAGAACCTGTCCATAATGTCTGAGGTGTCCCGACAACCTAAAGGGTCTGAGTGGCTTTGGCACCCTAAGGTGGTGGCGCTGTACAAGCTTGTTCTAGAAAACAGGGACATCAGCTCCACTAGCCGCGAGGCTGCTATAGGAGCGCTGCAGAATATCACCACAGGAGACACCAGGGTAGGCTCTCAACGTCATAGACATATTAACTATGTATATATTTAGATTTTGAAATTATCTGTCTATTTTTTTGTTGCTTTTGGATTCACAATCAGCAAGAGAATCTCGGTAGAGGCTCATGTGATCTGTGTCCCTCTCTGACAGTGGTCATCAGTAATGAGTGGTGTAGTGATGGAACAAGAGAGGATGCTGCCCATCCTGCTGGATCTGTTAGACACCAACAGTGACATGGAGCTGAGGTCTTTGACCGGCCTGCTCAGAAATCTGGCCAGACACTCCAACAACAAGGACCACACGGGTAAGACACATACTAGAGGGTGTTCCCGTCTTCTTTGGGCTAGAAACTCTCCCACTCAGATCTCTCTACTTTTTTATGATTCATTGTGTGGTAACAGATTTAATTGTAAATGGATAAGATTTCTGCCGATCAATCTACATCCAATAATCCATAGTCACAAAGTGAAAACATGTTTTTGGTTTTTGCAAATTTATTGAAAATCAAAAACAGAAATCTCACATTTACAAAAAATATTCAGAGCCTTAATTCAGTAGTTTGTAGAAGCTCCTTTGGCAGCAATTACAGCTTTGAATCTTCTTGTGCACAGTCTGACAGTCAGAGGACCAAGCCCCTTCGTCCCCAGTTACTCAGTTTGGCTGGATGGACAACTCTAGGAAGAGTCCTGGTGTTTCTAAACTTCTTCCAGTTCACAATTATTGAGGCCACTGTGCTCCTGGGAAAACTCCAACTTAGGAACATTATGGGTCTTCCCAAATATTGAATATTATAAAGGGACAGATGCCAATTTGGTAACTAACAATATGTAGATGGTTTTATTCTTCCTTTCACAAAAATAGGAGAATTCGAAGTTCAGTTTGAGGTTACTCCTGGGTTCTTGTACATTAACAAACGATAAGAACATGAATTATGTGAAACACCAAACTCACAGAGGTGGACCTTTTCAAAGGATGAAATTACAGAAAGGTCAGAGCATTTATCCACAAACAGTTCTGTAAGACAGACACCCTTCCTCTTTGTCCTTGCAGCAAAGAACATGGTGAACGTTCTGGTGTCCAAGCTTCCGAGCGATGGTCTTCAGAAAACACCATCCAGCGAGGTGGTGGTCAACATCTGTGGAGCCCTCAATCACCTGGTCGCCTGCAGCTCCATAGCAGCACGTGACATCTCGTACTTCAACGGCCTGCCCAAACTGGTCGGCATTAAGTCATTCCATGATAGCAGGTAGGACTGACTTCCACTGTAATACTAAAAACAGAGCTGCTGCTGGAGGAGTAAACATTAACTCACCAATAATGTTCTATAACCTATGAAACTGTTTTTTAGAAAGAAGCCTTTTCCTCATGCTCCTTATACCAGAGCTGTAACCTCTCAGTGACCACAGTGTTTCCTGTTTATGACTTTCCTATCCCTTTTAACCACAGGTCACACAAAAATAGAACCTTTTGCTAATTTGTTCGTGATTATCACTGAGTTTCTCCCCTCTGTTTATGTTCTGGTATTTCCTCCTTGTTTCTAATTGTCTGTCACTGTGTCTTGTTTCAGCTCTGGGAGTCTGAAAGCTTCCAGAGCGGCCTCAACTGTCCTCTGCAACATGTTCCAGTACAACAAGCTGCACAAAGACTACAAACTGGTGAGATCCACAGCTGCTGATATCAGACATTCTACAAAATAATTTAAATATCATATATACACAGCTGCAAACACATCATCTTTGTGAAATCATGGTTCAGGCCAAAACGGAGAAAAAGGGGAGCAACTAGTTTATGTCTTTATTGATGATTAATGAGACGATTTTTTTTATTTTTATATTATTAATTGTTTGGCCTATAAAATTTCAGGTAATCATGAAAATGCTTTCCATAATTTCCTGGAGCCTAATTTAATGTCTTCCAATTAATCCAAAGTCCAAAGAGAGAATTTCTTGGGGCATCGAGGAGGCAGAGGTGAACACTGGCAGTGACCTCTTTCACATTACAAATAGTTATCTGAGCCATTGTTAATATAAAGATATTGATTAGTGCAGCTTTAACAACTTCAACAAGTCCTGTTTGGACATCAAGCCACCAACCAATACAATTAAATGTTGCAAGTAGAAGATTGACTTTAACTCTTTTCCATTTTATAAATTTAAATGTCAGCTTGGATTTGAATGTAGGGCTCCATGTCATAGTGCATCTATGTGACCTCACACTAGGGCTGAACAATTAATCCAAATGTTATTGAAAACACAATATGGCCAAGTCCAATATCCAAATCACAGGAGCTGCAGGTTTTTGATGAAGGTAAAATGTGTCATAATATACCATGAATGAACCAATGTGTTGCTACAGACATGCCACCTACAGATCATAAGGGAACATCAAGGGAAAAATCACGTCATCATCATTTTATCATTTTTTTCTGGGAAAATGAAAATGCAAAAATTACCAGTGCCAATTACATTGTGACTCATATCGTAATATCTTTCAAAATAATTGTAATGTGTTGTATATACGGTTCAGCCCCACCTCACACCTCATACAATTTTTGTATAGTGGAAGTAAGTGTTTCACCCCATGCTGACAGTGGATCAGCCACTGGTTTGAAGCACTTCAGAGATGATTTGGAAGCATTGTGAACCAGTCATGGCACCAGAGCTTGTTTAAACTGCACCAAACAGGTTCAATAAAAAGCTCTCTCCGCAGAGCTGAAGGGTTTTTGTTGGGCAGCAGCAGTGAGCGCTGTTATCTCTGTGTGTGTCTGCTTCTCTCAGTGTCACAGAAGAAGAACCATTCTTCAGTTTTCTTAAGATGAGTTCTCTGACAGTGACTGGAAGCAGCCAAAACATCATTAATTCCATTCAGTGGTCTCTGCAGTGCTGTCTACTGACCTGGAGTCACCTTACTGAGATGTTCTGGGTAAAATGAAATTGAGGCTCAAACAAAAGATCACAAAAGTCTTCAGTAAAATTTTTGGCCTCCAGTGTTTGTAAGACAGGCTTCCAAGACATTAACTCTACCCATTATATCTAGGCAAGGGGTCCTGCTTTCTTCCACGGCTGGTGGTGATTTCTGGCTCAGTGTTTGGCTCAAGTCTCAGACTCAGTATCTGTTTTCCCAGTGAACCCTGGCACTTTCCCAGCATGCCCCCCACCTGCACTTGTATACTGTTAACAAAGATAAAAACCTGTGACAACAAAGATGGAAAATACCACAAACTAACTTTGAAGTATCACCATTCAAAAAAACATCTACACTCTCAAACACTAGCAATTAGAACCAACTCCACATCAGTGCAATAAATCGATTCTGCGTGTTTGTTTTGACACCACTGTACACATTCACTGTAACTGTGATTCCCTGTGAGCAGGCCTGCCATATAAGCTTGAGGTTGTAGTTTACACCCACACCTACAGTGCTGGGGATATACACATTTGTGATCAGAAAGAAAACAATACATCAGAAACACTCTAGTTTGCAGGCTAAATGGTGAAGCTGCAACTTTTGGGACTCGCTGTCTCGACACCTACAGTGAACTGAGATAATCCACACGCACATACATCATCTTAATGCTTGTTGAATAGTCTCGTGCCTTCCACACTGTGTAGTGTTATGCTCATGAAATCATTGGTTCAAAGCTCAGTTTGAACTCAGACTCTCTTGTAATTAACTGCAAGCCTAACTTAACACCAACAGTGTCTTTGATAATTAAATGATATTGGACTTTGTCTATTAGTTCTTAATGTAGCCACTGCTATAGAGAGCCAAAGTGAATTTCCAACTTCGCAAGACATTTGGAAGACGTTGGATTTTGGTTACTCAACAACACAATTTAAGACCAACAAAATATCAACATCAGTTGTCATTAGGGCTGCACAATTAATCGAAATATAATTGAAATCGCAATATGGCCAAGTGCAACATCCAAATCACAGACGCTGCAATTTTTTTGATAAAGGTAAAATGTGTCACAACATTGTTGTGCTTTGTGGGCACCATATATGTTGTGGTGCTATAGAGATGCCCCGGCCTACAAATCACATTCTCTGGTTGTAAAGAAACTGTTCAGTACAGACCCAACAAAAATCACATCATTTTTTTTTTTTTTTCAGTGAAAAATTAAATGCAAAACTGATCATTCCAACTGAAATTTCAAATGTAATGTAATGCAAATGTAAATATTTAAATGTAAAAATAATTGCAATATGATTTTACACATACATGTAGTTCAAACATTCCTGTGCTCTGGCTAACGTTCATCTCTCAAATACATTTTGTCTAGAAATCAAATAATCTGTTGTGATGATAATATCTTTCATTTGAGAAAATGTGCAACACTATTCAACAAATTACTGTCTATGTCAGTCAGACGAAATTATTTTATTTGGCCAACAGTTAATCAGTTTATGCCTCTGTTCACTATTTGGCACCTAAACACTAATAACAACGGTTCACCCTGAAAACATCTTTGCCTTAATGTTTTTATCAAATCAAAACATTATCAAACAGACAGTGTCTTAGCAACATGTATTCAGGGAGGGGGTATATTGGGTGAATTGCCTATCCGCAGGGAGTTTGAGAGTGTGAGAGAGAGCAAGCAGACAAAGGATTATGAGCAAGAAGCAGGAGACTGAGTTTCCGTCTTGGCCTCTAATTTCTTGGCAGATCTCGTTATACTCGCTCGCTCCTAATGCTGAGATCTGAGAGCTGAAGTGTGGTTGTATGCAGCACGGTAGCAGAGAAAGAAACAAAGACAGAGGGAGCATGCAGGATCTGAACTGAATTCCCCAGATGTCAGCTGTACTTGGCGATCGTGCTTGTGAGCAACCAGATGTGTGACTGTCCATCTTTTCCACCAAATAGCACAGAGCAGATTCTGCTGGAGGTGTACAGCTGTTTTTATTTGCTCTTCAGCTAGGGTGGGTGAATGTGAATGTTCAAAGTTCTGTGATTTTTGGATTCAGATGCAGACACGCACAAAGGCAGTGAAGATACTCAACAAAGGTCCAAAACTTGGAAGTAGGCAGGAGCACTGGGGAAAAACACAGGGAACAAGATCAGAAACCAGACGGGAACAAAAACAGTAACTACAAGCAGGAAAGTAAAAACACTGGAGAATGATGCAGGAGTAAAACAGATCCAACAAATAGCGAGGAGAACACAAAGACTAAATACACAAGGAGGGGAGGTAACAGGACACAGGTGCAATAGATTAGGGTGGGGCGGGTAATCAAAGAAGCGGGAGGCAAGAAATAAGACAACAAAATAAGGAAAGTAATTTCAAAATAAAACAGGAAACAGAGTCCAGGCAGATTGAGACAGTGAAGCCCCTACACTGTAAAATGTAAAAATATTTTTGACCACTCCTGTTCACTTACACAAATGTGTCCAAACAAATGCTTTTTGGGATGACTAGGTAACCAATACACCTCACAGTTATCTTGTGGGTAGCTAGGAGAGCAATCTCATATTAATTTAATTAAATACTATTTTGTGTAATTTTCCAAAGAATTGGATCCAGGTCTATTTTTTCACTTAAGCCCCTTTGCTCCAACAACGGTGAGGTGAGGAAGGTGTGGATGAAGAAGAACATTTGCCTGCATCTTTATCTCTCCACAGGTCTCTAGATGTAGGTGTGGTATTTACTGCTCTCTCTGCCACAGAGACAGAATGCTAGAACATTAAAGCCTTAGATAAAGCTTGAATCCAACTAGCATAGAGATTTTCCCCTATAGCTGTTATCTGTAATTGAAAAATATCAATTTTAATTAACCAATCATGATGGATGAAAAAAATAGCCAAACTCCTGCTAGAAAGATTAGTTGGATTAATTACAGTCTTTGCCTGTAGCATAACTTTAAATTAGATATTTAAGTGTATTAAAGTGTTAATTAACATATTATATTGATTTCATGATTGATTACAAATATTGTTTGGTATACATAATTGTCTTGGGTGATTGCTGTTGTCTTAAATGGCTTTTCTTACTGATTGACAACCTCACTAATCACGGTGTCCTGTTGGTGCAGTGGGACAGAGAAACCTGCAGTACTTAATGGTCCACATAACACAGAACCAAAAACAACATTGCACTGTTAATAAGATATTCTACACTGATACGTTTGAATGAAGACGGGAGTCTGGAGTTTGATGGAGAGCAGGATGTGTGGGTGTTGGCTGACATTGTTCTCTAAATTTTTATCTCCACCAGATGGTTTTCTGGTTTATGAATATACACATCTGCTTTTTAACCCACTTGACCTCCACTCCTCTCTTCCCATTGGTCCTGTTCCTGCCTCCCTCGCTCCGCTCTGAAGGCCTGGACCTTGTTGGCTTCTATCCATGCCTTATCTAGGGACACTTGGCTGTGCTAGTGCAAATATTTTCTCTGTAGCTGATACCAAATAGATCGCAGAGTCATGTCACACATTGGGAAATGAGTGGAAATGCAGATTTTACATTTTATTTTTTTATTACACATCAGCAGGTTTCAGAGAAAGCAGCTGGTGAAGATCTAGTCAAATTTGAATCATGCGAAATCTGTCTGGTGTTTTTACAGTAAACAGTAATGGAGTCAGAGGTTACTTGAAGAACTTAACATGTTATTATTGGAAGGTAAATAATCCACAGGACCCAAGTGTTCTTCATGTTTGATATAAACAGGGAGGGGAGGGGCTGGAGTCGAGACCATCCCAGCTGAGATTGGGTGACAGGCAGTGACACCCTGGAGAGGTCACTAATCAATCTCAGGGCTGACACACGCTCTCATTAACACCTGCAAATCAGAATGACCAATTAAGCTAAACTGTACGTCTTTGGACCGTCAAGTCAATTTATTTCTAGAGCACATTTACACAGCTTGAGCTGACCACAGTACTTTACAAATGATTAAAATAAATGAAAGCAAATAAAACAAATGTACAGAATAAGTAAAACACAAGGAAAGTATAGTAACTATACTGTATACAGAACATGTAAACATACTACTACTAGACTGTGGACAGAGATTTACTGTGAAGCGGTATTAACTGCTTTTTTGCCACTTTGAGGCAGCACAACAAACTGTAAATGCATCACTTAGCCTACATATTATACCTTATAAAGTTAATTTGACGAACGTGTTACCAAACAGATGCCTATTTACTCATGCAGCAGATACATGATCATTCATTGTGTCGCTCTGGTGAATGTAATCGGTCCAGTATTCACTCCCCTTATCTCCTTCTGTTGGTCTCCACCAACAACCCATGTTCATCAGCTGGTAGCTAACATTGTGTGTCTGTTGTGTTTGGTGTTGGGCAGCTGCTTTTGAAGTTACAGCTGAACAGCAGTTAGAGCATCTTTAACTTCTGTGACGTGAGCAGGTTGTTATTATGAGAGGGATTTTATCAAATTGTTCAAATCAATCTGAGGGAAACTTTTAAGATTTCAGTTACAGAAATGATCTCTTTTTGACTATTATTTGGCAAATACCAAGAGATAACAATTAACGCGAGGACACAGGATTAGGACTTGGGAAATGTATATTTTATTTCAGTGGGATGTGAAATGTTTTTGCTTGAAAACTGAACTAAAACAGTAAAGTTCTGGGCTGTAAAACCATAACAATGCTAAAGCACTGTAGAGCTGAGGGGAACTGTAGTTCTCTCAGCAGCTGGTTGATAATTCTGTGGCTTCATCTCTTCCAATGTCCCCATTCACATTATACATTGTAAATGATTCCAGTTTTAATATAAAGATATTGATTAAAGCAGCTTTAAAGGTGCTACCTGATTGATTACAGCATATTGTTGCTCTCCCATCAACTGTGTTGGATAAGGAAGAATTTAATAGTAGAAATTGATACAGATCCAAAGTGAGAGGATAACAGGATTACACCAGCCTGGACACGAACAAGTGAAGCAGCTCCTTTTTATAGAATGATCTTCTACCATCTTGCTGTGGACTGTCAGGCTGATTATACTTGTTAATACCTTACTCCTCTAATGCCTAATGGTAAGGGTTTCTTATTGTAAGAGTAAGAAAAATCCCTGTATCAAAACTACTCGTGCATGACTTTAAAGATTTAACAAGCCTAAAAACTTTTCTTTTTGTCTAACACAGTGACGACACTCCTCTACATCATGATCCCTGCTTCATCTCCTGGATATTCTACTTGTGTCTTTCATTGCTGGTGTCTAGTCTGGGCTTTGTTGAGTTTTAGTTTTTGTGTGACCACTCTCAGCAGGAATGGGTTTGTCTCTTTTGTGCCTTCTGAATGAAAGAGGAGTTTGGGTTGGCGGACATGGCGGTCACTGTTATGTTCCTCCTGTATGAAGCCAAAACAAAACAAAACTTCCTTCACACTCCGACTGTCTTCGCAAGTCACGGTGCAAACAAACCGGTCCAGAGCATCTGGTAAACCAGTGAACAGAACACCGTGAAACTTGCTGTGGCTGTTCATGGTTCCCAGAGAGCAAATCCATTCAATACTGTAACTGCCCATGAGCTCTTCTTTAGAGCCACACTCTGGACAAAATGAATATTTCCTCATCTTAAAAGAGACTGATCTGAACTTCACTGGGCCACCCCACCTTAAGAAACAGACCATAAGGAATGGGTGGGGCAGGTTTGTGCTGTTCCCCTTAGCTCTACAGAGCATTTTGTCTTTGAAGTCATTGTCTTGGTTTTGCAGACTGCAACTTCAAAACAATCCTCCAAATGAATACTAACGTTGCTCCGTATCTGCTGGGTGTATAAAAAAAAAAAAAAAAAAGGCAACATGTTTGCTGAAACAACTTTATAAGGTGATAATGTCGCTGATGATACTGTTAATGTTTCATTTTCAGCTTCTTCCACTGTCCCTGCAGTCAACACAAGTAATCAATACTGCTTTAACAAAAATAACTTTAGATTAATCAGTAGTAGGTCAACAAAAAGCCCTGGTTAATATAAAACATGTTGTAGCGGACTAGAATATACATTCAGCTAATAAGCAGGTGGATTCTTTATTTTTTCTTTCCTTGAACCCAGTCTTAGCCTGAACCCAACCAGTTATCTCTGTGATGCTTCACCATAACCCTAAGACTTCACCTCAGAACACAGCGCTATGTGAAACGCACTGGGAAACAGTGTTGTACAAAGGGGGAGGTCTTGTCTTTCATCAAGAATCACACACTGTATATAGTGAACTGTTGCAGGGTCACATTTGCAAAAGCTCGGTCCCCTTTGCATTTGAAGTAAGTTTAGTTTGTGGCTAAATGCAAAAATACAGAAATTGTGAAGGTTGAAAGTGTGGTCAGAATGGTCAGCAGTGTAGCCTTGGGTTTTCCTTTGTACTGCTTCATAGGTGATTAAAATAATTTAAAAATTGTTAAAAAAATGGAAGGTGTACTGACGTTAAAATCAGAGTAAACATAGCAGCAGAGTTTTAAACAATTTGTTCGTGATTAAAGACTCAAATATGCAGGTGAAAAGTTCATCGCGATAAATCTAGCCGGGAGGTGACTAACTGTGGTGGTACACTGTAGCACAAGCTGAGTGTAAATGTCACTGCATCATTCTTCTGGAACATGTTTACTGTGTTTTTGTTGTTGTTGTTGTATTCATATTGTTTCTCTGTGTTTTTCAGAAAGGATTTGCCAGACGAGACTTCACAGACGCCACCATCTAAACATGTGACATGATTCTTCCTGAGCTTCTGACCTCTGGATCAAAGCTGTTGTGAGGAAGGGAGCAGGAACAACAAAAGGCTTTAATGAGCTGATTATCTCACAGTGATCGACTTAAGGAAAGGGAAAAATGGACTGGATCGACTGGAGTGATGGACTTTGAGTTTGCCCTCTTGTAGATGGTTGTTAACTTGGCTTAGTTTGCAGAAGATTGACTGTCATGACGGGAACTTGATGGTTTCAACACATCAAAGTGGCTTCACCCCCAAAATTACCGTATACTGCGTGTGTGTGTGTGTGTGTATTAGGGTTTGACTGATATGGGTGTTTGCTGGCACTGACTCCATTTGTTTTGGACTGATGTTGCTGATGTTGCTGATATACAATGGTACACATACACACACACACACACACACACACACACACACACACATTAACTCAACATCTAGTCAGTGTGTGGAGTGTGGGTGAAGCAGTGTGGACAAAAGTGGAGAGTGTAGGTGGAAAAAAATGAGATAAAGAGAAACAGTGGAGCAGAGAGAGCAAAGTCAAACACTTTCAGGGCCCTGGGCACATTGCATCATCTCAAGTTCATTCTGTTTTAAAAACGAAGGAATTAAGCAATCATGCTATATAGAAAAGTATGGAAATATAGAAACTAAAGTCTTTTCTGTCAGGTGGAAGTACCTGAGCTTCTTGGTGATCAACAGATGTTCTGAGGAAACGCCAGGTGCAAAACAAAGACCTCAAACCTGCACCATAACTGTACATATTATTTCTTCTTCACATAGACTTAATTAGTGCATTGACTAACTCTTGAGACTGAAGATTCTTTGCTTCTTTTTTTTTTTTGGATGTTTTATGAAGAGGTATTTGTGTGTATTATTAAAACAGTAAACAGAAAAAATATATTTACACAAAACAGTAACAGTGTTCGCCGTTTGTTATAAATGTGTAGAGATTAGCCTGGATGTTAGAGTCCCAGTTGTGCCCTGACTTTGATGATGATCAGGTCAAAATTTGAATTTGGTTTGGTTTATGACCAAACACCTGCAAAACGAATGACATTTCCATCAGACTAGAGGTGTATGAACAAAAATTTATCGATGAATTTTCAAAGTGAACTGACTTTACTGACTCACCATTGTCAGTGAGCGAATCAGCAGCTTTTAGCAGTGGAGCTGGTGACTTGCAACACTGTTTGTACAGTAGGTCAGAAATAATAGGCTGCCGAGCAATTAACCTTATGTACAGTGCTGCACTGTATAGACTAGTTTTGTACTGAAATGAATGTGACAGTTTGCACTAGTAACAGATTGAACATGTTACTGTAGACAGTCGGAATTCACGCTGAACATCAGCCCGTGTGAATGTTATTGCTTTGTATCTACTGAAGTGCCTTACCTTACCTTGCCTTAGAGAGAAAATCCAACAACCTACATAGAAATGTCATTCCTAATTTCCACCGTTGTGGGACGGCGCTGATTAGCAAATCTTAGCATACTTACATGCTAAAATGATTAATACGGTAAACATTATCTGCTAAATATTAGCATGTTGGAATTTTTTATTGTGAGCACGTTTACATGCTAACTTTAGCATTTAGCTCAAAGCACCACTGTACTTACTGTAAGGCCTCAGAGTGTTTGTAGACAAATTCTCTATCTCAGATATTAACCATCAAACACATGGTTTAACCATTTACATTGAGTGTGTACAAATGAGCTGTTAGAGGGGTAGAGTTGCAGTTAGGTTTTAATCCACATTGAATCTAACACACACAGTATTAACCAATACACAGCAACGAAAAAGGATCTGGAATTTCCAATGAGGTAACTCATGACCTTGAAAACTATACTGTATGTGCAGTGGTATGGGTTTAAAGATGGTAAAAACAGTGTGTTATTTAAAAAAAAAACAAAAAAAAAAACAGACACTTATAGACAGACACTCTGCCCCATATGATCAGTCCAGTCAAAAAAAAAGTTGATTAAAAAGCTGAAGCCTCACAATAATTTCTGAACTGTGATGGGTGAATGACTCAAAGAGTAAACAAGGGGATTTCTGCGGATGGGTGTGTGGGAGAGACTTGGATTTTATCTGACAGAGGATACTTCAGATTCCGCAGAAGCTCCACAGCATTTAAATGGAAGGGAGGACAGGAGAAGGGAGGGGCTCAGCCAGACCTGGTTCTGCAGTGGGAAAAACACAAGAGAAGGGCTTCAACATAACCTGAAATAGAAAATGAGTAAATATTAAGAGTCCCACAAGGCTTAAAATACATCAATTATGCTGCTGGAAGTTATTTTCATGAACCTTTACATCCATTATCTTCCTTCAGTTTGTCAAGCAGGTTAAGCTGCACCAATGAAGACAAGAAGTTAGATCAGACAGACCAGCATCGTTTATGGAGTATGCAGTTGTTTTAAATGTGTTTTTTGTTATTTTGTCTCATAAATTGTTTCCCTTGTTCTGTAATTTTGTAGTCCACATATGCCAGTGAGTTTACTGGTCATATGCTGTTGTTACTCTACACAAGGCTATCTCCTTACTTAGGTTTTGATACTTTGAGAAAATAACCAATTAGATTTCTAAAACAGTGTCAGTTTATCCACGGAAATTTGCTCCTAATATGTTGAGACTGGAGGTCATCTCAGCAGCTTGTACTCCAGCTCCCAAGTAGACTGGCCTGTTTATGTGCACCTTCCTCCTGGGAAGAGGAGTCTTATTTCAACAAAGCCCTTTGGTGATTTACTGCTGGCTCTGCTGTCTAGTATTTTAATGTATCTTCCCCTTCCCTTGTGGAAGATAAACTTTGGTCTCAGAGTTGAAATATAATATTTGTTGTTGTCAGTTTGTCTGGAGGTAAAGGTGAAAACATAATAAATACATGTTTTATTTGACAGTTGAACAACAGTGTTGTTGTACCTCTATGGATCTTGGGGCTCTTATATGTTCAGATACTAGAGAGGTCCTGAGCCGATCTTAAGGATCAGTATTGGTGCTGATCCAGGCATAGGTTAATGGATCAGTATCAGCTAAAGTACCACAGCTCTAAATCCAGTCCTGTCATTACTGTACTCTGTGTTTTGTCCACCTCAGCCTGCTAGTGTTACAGCTCATGTTTTTTAAGATGCTCTAATCAAAATCTAAAGGGTTAATTATTCACATGATAAATCAAAGTGACCTTTGAAAACCAAAACTATGATGAAATGAATAAATTTTTTTGTGAATGAATAAAAACGATAATGTGAACAACAAATGAGTGGACATGTTTTAATGGAGTCTTATTCAACATGCATGCACCTGTGGAATCACACACTGTAGCTCCTGATTAGCAAAACTACTTTTTCCACTGCCCAAAATATCTGATGTTCAGAAGATGATGTAGCTGCTTGACCTGTTGCACAACCATCAGTAAGAAACACTTTGGAAAGTTATGTCTCTGTCAGTAATGTTAACTGATGTGAACAGTTCTTGGAAGAACCATATTGATGGAATAAGTAAATCTACAGTCCACTGAGAATTAGACAAGAAGCTACAACAAAACAGCTGAGACAGTCTATGAAAACACGCAGGCAGCACACTGACATTTATAACGAGGTAACTTAACGATCAAGTGCTGTGGATGTAACATTACTTTCAGTCAGCGATCTCTAGTGTTGCTATGAGGAGTGCATACATTCTATATTTAAATCATTGTCTTATGACTGACTCACAGCTCTGCAGTGAACAGCACAGGTAGCTGCAGTGATGCTACATTAGCAGGAACAGCTGTACTAGATTATATTAGCTAGACTAAAAGTAACAAAAATTAAATGACTAAAATTTGACTGAAACTAATATAAATTTTCATCAAAACACTAAAACTAAATCTAAATGAACAGTGTCATGTAACAATTCTATTTGCATGTGTTTTCCCTCTTAGTATCTGTTTTTGTATTTGGAGTGTGTTTCACTTAAAGTTTGTACTTGCACTCTTGTGCTTTGTCCTCAGGGATTACTTTAGATTTGTCCCCACAAATGCTGCTTTAGGTTGTGTGTCCATGAAAGTATGAACATTATAATATTCACAATAAATAGTAGCATTGTTAATTGGCTCACAACAACTTACTAGTTTTGAGGTATTTGTACTTTAATTGAGTGTTTTCATTGTATGTTACTTTATACTTTAAATTAACTATATTTCAATGGAAACGCTGCACTTTTTACTCCACTGCATTTATCTGACAGATACAGCACATCTTTACATTTAGAGATTTCCATACAGGATGAATGGATGGGTGCTGCTCAGATGGATCTTTCCTGCCCTCTTGTGGCAGAGCTGCTGACACTACTCTCAAGGAAGTTTCACATTACTGTGTGGGACTTTTTAGGTGTTTAAATATTTGACTCAGTGTAAATGTCCTAGTTTCAGTAAAGTGTAGGAAGAGAGTACATAATTGAAATTGACAGATAATATTTATATATAACATAATATATATAATATAACTATTGTCAAAATACTTCTTTATAACAGATGTGCCCTGGTGGCCACAGTGTCCTCACCACGGTAGCCCAGGTTTGAATCCATCCCTCAAAACCACTCTTTGCTGCATGAGATCCCCCCTCTCTCCCCTGCCTTTCCTGTCTCTCTACACTGTCTCCATCATAAAATAATAAAGGTTTCTAATAATAAAAACGTCTTTATAACACTAAGATCATTGAAATTCGAGCTGGTAAGCAGAGCATAAATCATAATCAATCCCCTCGATCTGTCTTCATCTCATAAACTCTCATTTGGTGCCATTTCTGATTTTAGAAAATGTTTTGACCAAATCGTACATGAACTGCTTGGCTGCTAATCTTGGCAATGAAGCGATTTATCCAAATAGTCCAAATATAGTCATATGAGATAGAAAAGCTTAAGATGCATTAAAATGAACAGCTTTTAGACTGAAGTCTCAGCCTATCACACCATCCATCCTCATCTCCACCCTTTCTCCTGTTAGTTCCCAAATTTGAATTGAAATGTGTATCATTTGGAAAAAGTAAGTGTGACAATGATAAGGTAATGTAATTTTATTGCAATGTGTCAACCACATACATATAAGACACTATAAACATAAGCAAGAGAGTGTAACAACAAATATAACACACCTGCATGTCACTCAGTGTCAAGCCAAATCTGAACACAATGCTGCTCTATGGATAACACAGCTATAAAAACAAAGGAAAATAAATAGAAAACAGAAAATACTCTTGAGTGATCTTGTAGTAATATTACAACACATTCATAATAAATTAATGTAGTGATTTGGTGATAAAAAAAATTACAATTTTGTGGAAAATGAACATTTATAGGTTGTCTGTGCAGACAGATGTTGTTTCAACAGCAATTATACATGTAATGTATACTATTACTATTAAATGCAATGTCTGATTAAATTTAACTCAGACACATTCATCAAATCTAAAATATAACAACCAAACCAAACAACCAAATGAAAACAAATCATACCAGCTTTTATTAACAATGATCAAACAACAGCAGGTGAAGTTAGGGAAGCAACAGACATTTTCATGAGCCAAGAGAGTTCAGGAGAACTGTTCTTCCAAAGGTACAAATATACACTATCCTAAAAATGTATATAGAGCTGGTCATATTTACAGAATACATCATGCTTAAGATGCTCTCAAAGGCAGATTCACATTGTTGTTTTACAAGACAATGAAATTCCTGTTAGTAACTTTGGTATACACATATTGCAGTTCATAATTATATCTGTGGGCAACATGGTGTAGAAAAACATTTCTGTCTTTAAATCTCAAACCACAGACAAACCCTTAACAAGGTCAGCCCTGTGTAGGTTCTACCTGTAAAACTGTGAGCTGGGGCAGAAAAAACATTTCATGTTAAAATACTAGTACTGCCTGCACCAAACACCCACATTTTTAAACTATTTAAGTAGATCACCTCCACAGTTTTATTATTTTAGAGACAGTAATTTAGCCTTTTTTCTTTTCATTTTTTCATATCAGTAACTTCATTCCATCATCATTATATTCTAATTAAAACTTTGTGGTTTATCTTATTCTGAACTTCTTCATTGTAGTCAGCATTACAATGTCAGCATGTAGCCAAATCAGGTTGTACTGTAGCACTGCATCAAAAAAGAAGGGAGTTTAGGGGTTCAATTCAATTCAATTCAATTCAATTCAATTCAATTCAATTCAATTCAATTCAATTCAATTGGTATACCACAAAATTATAACATTAACTCAAGGCACTTTATGAGGTAATGTCAAGACCTTAAAATATTGTAAAGAGAATCCCAACAGTTCCCCTATAAGCACCACTTGGTGACAGTGGGGAGGAAAAAAACTGGTCCGCCTCAACCAGTTGGGTCACAAAATTGTATTCTGTAAATATGACCAGTCCTGGCAGCTCATTTTAAGTTTCTGCATACTGGCTGTGTAATTTTCTCTGGACTGAGCATTTTGATACTTTCACAGTATTTATATAGTACCAACACTGACTTGATAATCAGAAAAGACATGGAAATCTCACAATCTATAATACGGGACCTTCAAGATCAATTACACACTTACTTGCTTAATCACAATAGACAGATAGTGTGTGGACAGTGCCAATATTTTGAACAACAATACAATAACCATCTCTCAGGTCCTCTCGCACGCGTCCATGCTCCATCCCCTCGACAGTAAGGGCAAGGCCAGTGGTGAGCATCCCAGCGCACTGGCTCCCACATTCATTGCACCTCAGTACTTCCTCAACCATCTGACCCATGTATGCATTGGACTCCTTGGTCCATGTTTCAAGACAGGTCAGGGTGGGACATCACCACAGACCCCTAAAGCCACCTTGCTTACATGGCGTGGTTGGAGCGCACTGAGGACACCACCACGGAGGAAATGCACTCAGCAAGGGATAGCCAGC